AGTCATGAAAAGGTTTAAACACATTAATTGCTCATGCAGCTCAGAAAGGAGAGGCACTAGAACTAGAATCAGACATTCTGGCTTCCAGTCATATTTAGTCCTTTATAGTACTATGATTTATAGTATTAGCACCTTTTTTATAATGATTGGTACAAAGTGGATGTGAACAGACTGGATATGTTTGTCATCACAGTCTGCTTATATCTCCATCTAAGTGTAAACTGGTTCACAGAAACCAAGTCAAATGTTACTAATATGGATGAATTTATTAAACTTTAGTTACATTTTTTTAAGGTTTTTTTTTTTTTGGTTTGAAGGTTGATACTGCTTGACTGATAGACAACTAGCTCCCTTGTTTCCTACAAAATGACTTTGATCTTGCAGCTATGGTTCTGTTAACTAGAATTACATGCAAGAACAAGGGTACAGACTTTTTCTAGGTTGAAGCTTTTTAACTATGCAAGATCATTCTCAGTTCTCGTTTCAGAAACGGGCCGTTTTTAGCTTCAGTCTTGCAAGGAAGTGAAGAAAGGTATTACAAAGGTTTGAATCACATTTCTGCTATGTATTCAGTACAGTTTCTATTTTACTGCTTGCATCTTACTGAGCTTGACTAATTCAATCTGCAAATAAAAGTAATATTCTTCTAGGTTACTATTTTTCATTTAAATTCCCATGTGCTACTTCATTGCTACTTACTTCATAGAGCTCTGGGGAAATTTTACATTGGGGTGCTTCTAAGAATCTAGTTAAACAAACTACCTGAGTCTGTTGGACTTTTATTGTAAGCGCTACAAAATCTACTAGGTACATGTCCTCTCATAGGCAATGTAGAAGGAAGCTTTACTCTAACATCAAACTGACTAAAGCTTGAATGCGAAGTTCTGCAAGAGCAGGGCAAAGCTGCAACTCTTAGTTTCTATCTTCCAATAGTAAGCTGACTTCTAGTTGCTGATATTTTACTAAATACAGCAGGGTAATATTATTAAGTAAAACTTTTAATGTTGTACATCAAGCTGAATACTCTTTGAAATCTACCTACATGTAATAAATTAACCCTGAGACAGAAAAATCAAACTAGCTAAGGGGACCTATAGAAAACAATGGATCAGAGGAAAACACATTGTTATTAGCATTTAATCAACACAGAAAGCTCAAACCAGAAACAAACAGGCTCACAACAATATGTGAAATAGCTGTTGACTTGCGAGCTAGATGTTCTATAAAGTTAGAGCCTGAGTCTCTAGCTTTTACCCTGATGAAAAATTTTTGTGTATAGGCTTATTTGCATAGGTAGAGGTCGCAGGGTCATATTCTTGTTTTATGCTGTCGCTTGCAGGTCCTGCTCTTACTTCTAAATACAATCTGATATTTAAATCCTAAAGTTCTTACTCAGTAAAACTTTTGCAGGGAGGAAGAACGGTGGCTGTACATGGATTTGAGTATCTGTTCCAATTAACATCTAATGGTCTTTAACACTTAGGAAGTGAAATTCTAACAAGCATTGCTAAATGCTGATCTGTTTGAAACCTTTTATTTGGGAGCCTGCGTCACACCACTTTGTGCTTTAACATGCTGGATTAATGCCAAAGAATGGAGCCAAAATGAAACACAAATTCCAATCACTTTCCAGCAATGGAACTGCTTTCTCATCACCCTTTTGTTTGAAGAGTATCATGCATAAACCAAATGATCTATGAGACTGCAAACTGAGGTTTGCTTGGTGATTAATTCAGAGGTTTAGGCCCACTCTGGCTGGGTCTCTTACATACTTAAAAAAGATAGAGAAGAGAAGCAGAGGTCTTTCATTCAGCCTTGAAAATGGATCCAAAATTGTTGCTCACGGTGATGGGAGCTACTGCCGTGGCTATTTAAAGGTTGGAAATGGGATAAGGCCAGGTCCCCACGTGTTCCGCGACAAACAAAACGAGAATTAAAATATTCTATAGCTTAGAGAAAGGGATGGGAGGATACCTTTGCGGGTATCGAGACAAAAGGAAAATGGAGAAAACCTGACAAGCGAAGTTATTCATGCAGCAAGAGCTACGCGCTTCATACGCCCCATCTCTTCTCCCCACTCGCTTTCCCTCTTCTGCCCGTTCTTGCCTGCCAGAACGGCGAACTACCGGGGGGCGGCGCCGCCCCGGGGCGCCGGCCCACACCGCGGC